ACTCATAAATATCGTTCGTTATCTATCTATTAATTTCATTCTCGACAAAGTCTTCCTCGAGATAAGTCTTTTATAGGGCATAACGAAATAAATTTTCACACATACAACTATCAAATCTTTTATAACCGCTCTGGAAGCGATAAAGTAAAATAAGAGATGAACGAAAAATATTAATTGCTACATAACTGGTTCCTCGTTTGAAAACAATAAATACCGAGTTTATACAAGTTCAGATATCGAAAATTGATTTTACGTAATTATCGTGTTTCTGACTGCAACGTTATGAAGATAAAACTGATTATCAGAATCAAAACACTACAAATACAATTCAGTATCCAGTGAAATAAATCAGAGGGTTGAGCATCGCTCGTCGATATTAACGCGAGCTCGGCCATGATGAAGAAGAAACTTTAACATTTTACGTTAATAAACAACCGCTTCGAGATCGCGTAAAAATGCGAGCACACGTATAAATACGTAGAATTTATCAATATGCGGGAGAGTCGGATTTCGAAATTAGCTTGCGGATGGGTGGCTACGATTTTAAACCGCGGCAAGAGGCAGTCAGAGTCGGTTGTCACGATACGATTTCGACAGGCACAGCTGCACATCCAGAACAAAACATGTATTCTCCATTTTGCTGTCGAATATTCAGAGAGGCTTTTAACAATTCATCAATGCCAACAACGCCAGGATTTACCGGTAACCCTTACCACGACATTTTACGATTTTCCTGTCAACTACCCGCCAGAATCTATGACAGACGTGTCGATCATAAAACGAATCGATCTATTTGCTCATAATTTCATGAAAATCCGATGGCCAGCAATTTTTTCGTATCAATTTTTTCATAAATGGTAAAAATTTGTAATTCCTAATTCGTCTCGACAAACGAAATCACGTTATACATCACAACTTTATATATTGTGAAGATGAAAACATGCTTTTCACGAATTCTTTGATAAAGAAAAATAATATACGATTGATGAAAATGTATCCAAATATTTTTCCCTAATTATTTCTACTTTCGATAAAGCAACTTTACATCTTCGTTGAAGAAATTGCAGCACGCTTGCAATATGTACGAATTGTGTGGAACAATAATAAGTGGCTGCGAAAATTGCTTCAATTCGCACGGAAACACCTTACACGAACAAAAATACACACGGATTGTGACGACACGAAACGAAATGGGTTATTATCAGGATAACGTGGCGGTATATAATTCACTGTCGTCATAAAAGACGTGTTTTGCCCAAAACGGACACAAAGTATTTCTAGAAAAGAATCTCCTCAAAAGAGAACAAATCCTGGCCAGTGAATTTTGCCAAGTTTCTCTAACTCCTATAGTATCACCCTGTTGCGCGACCACCAACCAGTTTCTCTTGCAACTAAGATTTAAAAATTTAAAACTGAAAAATTGAATGTTAAATACATATAATTCTTCTTTCTTCAACGAGGGAAAATAAAGTATTTAAACTTCTTACTTCTCCAATTAATTATCTTCCAATTTGATTGAGATAGAATTAAAAAAGAAATCCGTGACAGTTGTTAAAACTCACGACAAATCCTGAAAATTATCGAAACCTTTCCACGACCTAAAATAGAGGAGATATCAAACTTGAGTTAGAGAGTTAATCAGAAATTGCTGCGACGAAAGTTTCGTCTAACATTAATACCGGTTCACAAATACGTATATACCAATCAGGATGACAAATGCAAGTCAGAAACAGATTTGGGTTCGGCGAAATGTAGTCCATAAAAACATCAGAACCGGGTCCTGCAAGGATAGCAGGCACTGATACCGGTTGATTAATTAAGTAGCGCTATAAGTCTGTCATGCTGTAGGAAAGTAGTTTCGTTGCGATGATAGAATGGATCTGCCGGTAGCAGGTACCTGTAATTCAAAATAATCACGGGAAGACGTTCGATCAATTCTCGATAGGATAGACGAGGCCACCATCCTCGACGAATTTCCAATAGACATTTAATTATCCGAGACAACGAATGGCAGTGCCTTTAAATTTCGCAGATGCGAAGCAACCCTTGCCTAACTCGTACATCCGTACTTGTCGAGCCTTTGACGTTGATATTCAACAGAGATACACATCGACACTGCTACAATACGAATCTCTTTGTAATTCGTCAACGAGGGAAAGAACGTAGGGGGTTTGATTGATGACAACGGTCTATGAGATTTTTCTCCTCTGTAATGAAACGACCCGATCGAACGAGCAGAGTCAAGATGATCAATTAAATATAATCCAATAATAGAATTTCTTCCAAGTTGAATGAACTGAAATATTAATTTATTAACGTTCGAATAAGATTAAATTTTTAGATTACAAGAGACAATTATTCCTATATATTAGATAAAAACTATTAAACTTTATTTACTTTCTTCTCGCTTTTGATTCTAAACTTCCGATCAAATTCTTTCATTCATTCATATATATATATAAAACAAGCACGAAAGTTTCCCCAGATAGAAAAGAATCGTGAGTTAAGAGAAAAGAGGATAATACCTTGGCGGAATACAGGATGTAGGAAAGTTTTCTCGTGTGGCAAAACTTTAATTATTCATTACAGACTTTAAAACTTTGCTTATTCCTTCGGAAACGCAATGTACCAACTATTTCTCGCAGTGCGAATATAAAATATCTATCAAAAAAGGAATAAAATATATAAGATAGTTATATTATATAAGATAGTGTTTAATTTAAAAAATATTTTTTTGATCATTCGACCAACTGATTTCTCCTAATGTCCATGAATTCTGTGTTCCGTGTATGAAAGTATATGCACGGTGCTTCGTTACGCGAGGAATATCATGAAAACTGAAGAGATGCGAGATATATTTTCTTTTTCATTCCAACGTTGACGAGCTGACAGGAAAAGAAGGAGGGAGCGGAGAATCTCGACTAACGAGGAAAATCGGGGCCATGAAATTCAGGCAAATACAAATAGGAAAGAGGGAACGTTGGAGGAAGCTGGCACGCTTCGAATGCTTCGGCATCTGGTTTGACCTGTCTCTCGGCATCCGACGTAACCTGTAAGAATGAAGTGCCACTGCTCGCCGCCCGGAAACGAATGCAGAATCCGCAAACTGCACGCTGCCCAGAATGATGAATGAAACGTTACTCCGGGAATAACGTGCACGAGAGAAAGACCGTCCACTCACGGTTGTTCGCATTGCGAAAGATGGGTCACAATTTTATGTCGGCTTTCGGGAGCATGTTGAAAGATTTCATCTGTAAAATCAAACTGTCTAAATATCGTTGAAAAATATGTCAATTTTGTTGTATGTGTAAATTATAACAATATATGTGAGTAAATATATTTATGGAATTGTGCAATATTTAATTAAAGATAATAAAATAATGCATATTATTATATACGTATTTATATATAAAATTTCAAGTAATATTCAAATGATATACTAAACAATTTTAAATGAATATTATTAATAATAATGAATATATCTATCATCATAATATATACTTGCGTATTAAAAAATTAATATCAACTTATATTACCAAAATATGATGCAGTTCTTGATAATTATTATAACAACATTTCTTTGTATATATTAATATCAACTCTTAATATCTTTATATAGAATACATTGTCAATATATAGAATACATCACGTATTACAACTTTGACATGTCTATCAATGTATTACAACAAAAATATTTTAATTTTTCTTAAAGACTTGTTAATAATACGAATAAACACACTATTGTATAAAAAAACACATCGATTAAAATCGATTAAAATTACTAATAATTATTATTAAACTTCTTAATAACTTCTAATAAATTAAATAAATTTCTAAATATATTTCCAAAATAAAATTAATCGAGTAATAGCTATCTCTTGAACACTTGAATTTTGTATAGAAGACATTTTGCAAGGAGAACAAATAATGGGAAAAAGGTAGAAATAGGATAAAAATTATGGAATCAGCGCCATCTCTAGAATATCATAAATAAAACACATATAAAACATATAAAAAGAACAAAAAAATAATAGGATAGAAATAAGATAAAAATTGACCTTCAGCGCCATCTCTTGAATGCCAAAGATTTAATTCGCAAATTTACAAAATTCATAGTTTTAAATTATACACATAATCGAGTACGCATAACTTTGACACGTCTAAATAATACGACGGCCGAAACAAAACTATTCTCATCTAATTCTGCAATGAAAATCGAACGCAGTAGATATATTGATAATAGCGCAAAATTATTTATAAATATTAAACGAATTTTTTTTAATATAAAATATTTATAATTTTCTATTAATAATTTATAATTTACTAATATAATATAATGATTCATAATATTGTAATATATTAAATTAATTTAAAATAATAATTTATTTTAAATAAACTTTAACATAAATTTAATTATAAATAAATAAATAATTAAAAAATTATTAAATAAAAGAATTTATTATTTTTATCAATATAAAATAAAAAATTAATTATTGCGAGATCGTTTGATGAAAAATATATATATCTATTGGAACAATGAAAATGCTTGTTATTCTATTTATATTTTAAAAAATTGTATAGAAATAGAATAGAATAATTTTTAAATCTTTATAATGTTAAAAATGATATAGCAAAATTGTAAAGATATTTACAAACATTCTAATAATAAGACAAAAGATATGTTGGATAATATTTGTATTATTTAATTCATTTGTAATTTATAATTTATTCTTATTATTTTATTGATAAAAGATTAATCTTAACATAAAAATTACATTTGTATATTTTATAAATTATTTCTTTTACAATTATTAATATATAACAAATTATTTAATTATTTTTTCCTTACTTTAGATTTTAAATTAAATCATTCATATTAAAATAATACAAATTAATACTGAAACATCAATATTCGCTTTTCTTCTGCAATTGTTCATAGTGAGATATAAATTCTACATTTGGTATCCCTGCGAAAAAGGCATGCTGTCTCAAAACGGCAATAAAATGAAATAAAACTGAGGTGCAAAAAAATTTTATTTAACTATACAGCATTTAGGTAGTGCAAAATATCCAAATTAATAAATTAGTTAAATATTTGATGACATGCTGGCACTATGTTTAATATTATTTTTATAGACTAAAGTATAAAGCAAGTTTTATATTGATGTTGACTTTTTACTGTGAGAAATACATTTCTGATACAATTGTTCTAGTGGTTCGTTGAACAAGGTAGGGAGGGTCTTTTCAATTTATTATACATTTGTATATTTCATTATAGTATGATAATCATTTATTCACATTTCTACAAGCATTTAATGTTATGATGCGACTCATATCGCAGCAGAAAATAATTTGCATATATAAGCTGTGTAATTATTTAACTTGGTTCATCTATTTTTGTATTAAGGACAAAATTCAAAATCAGTACATCTTAAAAAATATATTAATAATTCTTAGGTATTTATTTGCGACATCACATGTACAAAGCGGTTAAAGCTAAAGTGAAAAACATCGAAAAATTGCAATATACTCCGATTAATTGCCGAACCTAACCTCAAACTTGATCTTTTAAGACTGAAAGGAAATGTCATTTATGTCAGTATAAACTAGCTATATTACGGATTCTTTAAATCTTCTTAATCTTTTATATAACTTACGTTGTTGCTGCGTGGTAAGTAACTTATTCACATTTTTTTTATATTACTTTATTATATCTCTAAGTTACTTTCATGTGTCTTTTTTTACAATATCTTTTATGATTATTCTGTAAATTTTTATTTTTTATTTTTGTAATCAAATAAAATTAAAACTATCTTTATAAAAAAAAAATATCTATATATCTATATATATAAATTAAAATTAATATATATGTATGTATATATTATATATATATATAATTATATATA